ACCATTCGTAGGGGAATAAATCCTCTGTTGCTATACTGGTGTAATATCTAAACTCGAAATGGTAAATACATTCTCCAAGTATTTCACGGAAAAGATTGAAATTCTTCGTTCCAGTCTGGAAAATATAACTATGAGACCTGTTACCACTATCCCCACCAGTTGCGTTCCTGATAATCATCACTCTCTGTCCTCATTTTCCCAGATTCATGAGAACGAAACCAGGAAACTTATCTCTCTATGTCCAAACAAATCTTGCTCCCTGGACCCGTTACCGACATGGCTCCTCAAGGACTGTTTGGATGAGGTTGTTCCTGTGATGACTCACATTGTAAATCAATCCTTTCTCGAATCTTCTGTTCCTGCAGATTTTAAGAAAGCTTTTGTGTCACCCTTGCTGAAAAAACCACAACTGGACGCAGGGGCTTAAAAAAACTATAGACCTGTATCCAATCTGTCGTTTGCATCCAAGTTACTTGAACGAGTTGCTGCTTCACAATTAAACCAGCATCTGAAGAGTACCGGTCAACTGGAAGTGCTACAGTCTGCTTACAGAAAAGGGCATAGTACTGAGACTGCTCTTGTTCGTGTTCAGAACGATCTTCTCCAGGCTGTTGACAAAGATGGTGCAGCAGTACTCATACTCCTTGATCTTTCCTCTGCCTTTGATACTATCGATCAGGGAATACTACTTCGTACTCTAGAGGATAGATTTGGAGTTACGGGAGAAGCGCTACTCTGGCTAAATTCGTATCTGTCAAACCGATACCAGGCTGTGTATGTGGATGGTTATAGCTCTGACATGACAGAGCTCAAGTATGGTGTTCCGCAAGGTTCGGTACTGGGACCTATACTTTTCACGATTTACACTTCTCCACTTGGAGATATTGCCAGAGCACACAATTTTTGCTTTCATCTATATGCAGATGATACACAGCTGTATCTATCATTCAAGCCGAAGGATAAAACCTCAATCAATACTGCTTTATCCAGAATTGCAGAGTGCACAGAAGACATCAAGACTTGGATGACCATGAATTTCTTAAAGCTGAATGAGGAAAAAGACTGAGATGCTTGTGATTACATCAAAAGCCATGAGAACAAAGTTAACACTTCCCATTCTTAAGTTGTCATCTTGTGTCATCGAACCTAGCCAGGAGGCTAGAAATCTTGGTGTCATGTTTGACTCCACACTCAGTGCTGAATGCCATGTAAGCCGGGTCTGCAAAAAAGCTTACATGAATATCCGAAACATCAGTCAGATACGACAGTTTATCAACAACAAAACAACAACTTTGCTCGTTCAAGCCTGTGTAATCTCCCATCTGGATTATTGCAACTCCCTTCTTCTCGGGCTGCCAAAACGTCTTGTCTTTAAACTTCAGAAAGTCCAGAATTCTGCCGCAAGACTAATCAAGAGAACCAGAAGATCAGTACATATCACCCCAATCCTGAAAGATCTCCACTGGCTCAAAGTTGAGGACAGAATCAAGTTTAAAGTGCTGACTCTGACATTCCGTGCTATCCACCACGATGTTCCTCAGTACATTTCTGAACTCATCCAAGAATACAAACCTGAGAGAACTCTACGTTCCTGTAACCAGTGTCTCTTGAAGCTTCCGTCAGCTCGTACATCACTTGGCGAGAGAAGTTTCGAAATCTCAGCTCCCCAGTTATGGAACTCCCTCCCAATTGAAATAAGAAGTGCCCCTGAGTTTGAATCATTCAAATCACTACTGAAAACACATTTGTTTAAAGTTTGCTGCTGTTAGACTGTGTATTCCCAGGACAGTTCATTGCTCACAAGCGCTTTTGAGCAGTTGATTATACTGGAAACAAGCGCTATACAAGTGTATGTTTATTATTATTATATTATTTATTATATTATATCTGATGCGCAGGTACAATCACGGCTTTGTTTCTGATGGTGTGATATACACTGACACGAGGACACAGAGATAAGGTTATCGTGTATAGATATATATATGTATATATAAACATTATCTGCAAAACAAAACCAAATCGACCCTAGAACAACCTTTTATGTCCTTGAGTTAGGGCAATGGACACGTGCCCAATCACTCTAGATTTGAGTCTTAATTCATTTATTCTCAAGCGTCTCGGAGGCAGGGGCGGTGGGGTAGCCTAGTGGTTAAAGCGTTGGGTCGTCACGCCCAGGACCCGGGTTCGAATCCCCACATGGGTACAATGTGTGAAGCCCATTTCTGGTGTCCCCCCGCCTTGATGATGCTGGAATATTGCTAAAAGCGGCGTAAAACCAAAACTCAGTCAGTCAGTCTCGGAGGCAGACTATTCTTGGTACTGCCTCACTGAATAGATCTTTTCTTCTTCATGTTCCATACAATGACTATAGCGATGACTAAAAATATATCCAGATTTCTGATCCGGAGTGAAAAGAGAGAATTAAAGGAGAATACGAGAGAATTGCAATAATTTGCTGGGTGAAAGATAACGTCATCAGAAGCATATACCCAAATTTTCAATTAAAAAATATGAATATTTATGTTTCAATCGCGAAAACAGTTTCTGTTATCTGAGCTTCGGCCATTATGCATATTCCGCTGGAACTCACGTGGCCTTTCCGCTCGTGACGTCATATGTGACTAGAGTCCGCCATATTGCCAAAGACCAAGCGCTTTAGTAACAGAAATCTTGTTTTTTTTCTGTCGTTTTTGTAAATGGTACGGTGGTGTATTTTTGCCTGGGGATGGACAGCAGCATCGAACTATGGAAAGAGCCATCATTTCTTCTGTTTTCCAAGTAAAAAAACAGATTTAGGCAGTTGGGTGCATATGACAGACATGCACACATGGGGTATGAAAGTTCAAAAGCTAGGCTAAAGAAGGAAGCAGTACCCACGCGATTCATTTATGCTACATCATTCCATGTTACAACTTACTGTCAGTGGTATTTGAAACATATATTAAAACAAGTCCGATTGTGATGAAATAGGGTACCAGTCGAATTGCCCCAGCAACGAAATGCCCAAGCAAACTTTGTCAAATTGCCCCAGAGGGGTAGTCAAAATGTCCAAATTAATTTAAAATAACTAAATATATGCAATAAATGAATGGTTTTGTCAACTTTGATATTATGTTCTTCATATAAAAGTTATATATATACATGTAGTTACGAGTTTTCTTATGGAACAACCCGTGAAGGTCCGGGTTAGAATGAGCCTTCAGTAACCCATGCTTGTCGTAAGAGGCGACTAACGGGATCGGGTGGTCAGGCTCGCTGACTTGGTTGACACATGTCATCGGTTCCCAATTGCGCAGATCGATGCTCATGCTGTTGATCACTGGATTGTCTGGTCCAGACTTGATTATTTACAGGCCGCCGCCATATAGCTGGAATATTGCTGAGTGTGGCGTAAAACTAAACTAACTCACTCACTCTTATGGAACATTTATGAAAAATATTACTTCCTATTAACTTTTATATGAGGTACATAATATCAAAGTTGACAAAAACTACGCATTCATTGTATATATTTAAATGTATTTAAATAAATTTGACCAAATTTGCTGGAGCAGTTCGACTGGTACCCATGAGATGTGCACGTATTATCAAAATCAGAGATTTCACATGAGCTTGAAAATGTTTCGCTGTAAAGTTCCTTCCGGTTTGGAGCCCTAAACGCTGCAGTCTATCTTTAAAATTGCCGAATACAATGGCACATCATGAAGTACATGTTACATTCATTGTTTTCCATAACGTATATGAACTTGAATTATATTCATGTAACTAAGTAGCTGGGGATTTAAGATAAGAAAACCAATCTATATGTACACGCATGCATGCACGCACGCACGTACACGAGCGCGCGCGCACGCAAACACACACACACACACACATATAAAAGAGGAAGAAATCATTTAATTAAGTGTGCCTTTTTGTGGCATACATAAAATACCAAGATACAAAAATGGTCCCCTCAATTTTTATAAATTTATATTAAGTGTTTAGGGACAGGTACATGTGCCAGGTATCTTCAGACATTCTTATTTGTAGAAACGTATGGCCATTTTTTGTGAATAGTTGTTTTTCAGTATAAATATAATAAAATGAATACGACTTCTTTAATAGATAGGACAAATGTGGACTGCGTTCTAAGATTTTCTACTATTACACATTATCTTTTTGTGTTTTGTATGTATATTAAGGGACCGTTCCTAATTTAAGCTGGTGTTTCTGTTTATTGTTGATGTTTATGGAGAAGCATGTACAATATGAATGACACCCCCACCCCAAATAAAACATAAATAAACAAATAAAATTAAAATTAAAATTATGCACAAAGTGACACTCCTCCCCCATGTCATAACCAATTTCAATGACACTTCCCAACACACACCTCCCAAGAACAAAATTGGTGACCTCCGACGACCCACTCCCTTAAAATTATCATCATGCCTAGCCATAAATTATGAACGGTTCCTAATCTTATCGTTCATGAAAGGACGCAATGCACTAAAAAGTTTCTTATCATTTGCTTATCTACCTTGGAATCAACCAAATTATATCAGTACCTATCATTGGCTTCACTTGGAAAGTGGTTGTATTCTCTGTTGTGTGAAAGAAGCAGTTTTTAATAGATACTGCACCTCTACAGGGATCGTTAGTTCATTTTCAAGAAAACAAAACGTATCTTTATTGGACACATTTTACAGACACTTCGAAAATAGTCACTTGAAGTTATCTCCCCTCTGTATCGTCAGCACTATCGCAATGTCTTCTCCGTTTTCATTGGTTGTTATTATTACACCTCTAACTTTTTAATAAATTATCATCAAAATAATTCAAAGCGCAATCATAGTTGTTGAATTCGTTTCCGATTTATTGATAGTGCAAACATTAATTAGATATTTTGTCAGCATTTTCCTATTCCTATATAATATTTTTGTTGTCCAAGACTACGTTCCGGCGAAAAACCATTCAGCCAATCAGAGATCGCGTCTTTTAGCACTACGTGACACATTGATCCAAGATGGACGGGAATAAGGATGAAAGTATACGGTGTGTCAACATCGCTCAAAAATACATCACTGCGGGTGAAAATGAGAAAGCTATTAAATTTCTGAACAAGGCCTTACGTCTCTATCCACTTGAAAAAGCTAAAGGTAAGTTCACAATCACCATTGATGTTGCGGTCTTAGGTGATTTGGAACGGTCGGTTTTCCCAATTTTCGCAGACCAACCTAATTTTCCAAGAGTCCGGTTTAGCCCGATCGACAGTATGTTCACGACGACGCCCAGATAATCCTTGGTAAAATAATAATATCGTCGTGTTTTTGTTATTGTTCAATGCCATTGCTGTAAGTTTCAACTCGTTTGGTCTCATTTTCAATGTTAACCTGCTAGATCTGGTGAACTGTAACCAAATCGCCTACATGATATTAACAGCTGATTACATGATCATAGCTTTCCGTGTTTTTCCAGTCTTGGCCGTGAGCATCTCATGCCATATAGTTTGGACAAATGGTTTTATGTGCTCTCATTTGGCTTGGGGTAGAAAGTTATCTAGTGGGGCATGTACTTCGTCAGGCCTTATCCTTGATAACTATCATTATGTGAAGGATGGTAAGATTCCCATTGCTTCCTTTGCTACTGTCTCATAAGCCTATTTATCAATTGCACCAGAATATACATCCCTACAGTATATAATAATAGACTGTAGATAGCTGAAATTCTGTACATTACACCCAATTTATAGACAGTTGGCAGATACATTTTGCAGATTACCGCAGCACTACAGACAGTAAAACACTGAACACTGACAAGTTATAACATCAATATTGGATATTCCTTATACTATTTTAGATTGATTGTGTTATTCTTTCAATAGAAATTAGTGTGAGAATCTTCGTTGTCATGGTTAAGTTTGAATTGAAGTAAACATTCTGTTGATCAGTAGTTTGGAGTAATCTCAAATTCATTGACATCTGCAAACAGGGTTAAAGGATTAAAATGACAAATCTACTGGAATGCTACATTCTACAATAAAATGAATGTTTCCTTCTATGTTTTATTCCCCTGCCTGTTCAATTTCATGTTTTGGATACACTCTTTGTCAATGTCATGAAAATATAGCTGTTACTAACACCTGGCTGAGTTGTCTAGTCACTGGTGAGAAATGAAATAGACTAAGTATGAAGCATTCAAGTTTCTTTATATGTATACCAGTAGTTAATGGTCAATGTAAATGGAGTGCAACTGAACATCATCATGATCATGGTTCAACCAAATGATTAGTATATGTCTCGACTGAGTTTGAATAAGATGGGGGATTTATGTCTAAAGCAAGTAATGGCTTCCAATGTTGTAACAATCAAATACAAATTAATTTCATCTAATGCCTGAAGTCTGCTGTAACTTTGATAAGCTTTTGGAAAATTGCATCTTTGTTCATTATTAAAACCTCCTGATACTTTGTTGAGGAAGAAATTTGAGAAATACATGTTGAACTGTTTATCATCTTTGAGGTTACCACATGTAGTGAACACATGATGACAAGCAACATTACTGAGTCAGAGAACAGTTTCACTTGGCAATAATAGAAGTCTTGATCCATGATTGGGTGTATAAAAATATATGTTATCAGTGATGCACTTTCAACTATGTATTTGAAGGAAGACTCTGACAGTGGCAGCTACATTTTGTGAACCAAGGTGCTCCCTGTGCATATGCATAAGAAGAAACCCTTGGTTGAAGTAATACATTGCCAGTTTGGAAAATTACATGTTATAAACTTGTAAACTAGGACTGGTTAAAAAGATAGACAGTCAGAAAAATTGTTATGGGGAAAAATTATTTACGATTATCGAAATGAAGATTGTTACTGATGATATCTTAGACAAACTATTATGATGAAATATACATGTAGTTTAATTAATGCACAAAGTTATGTCTCTATTCATTGGCTGCTTCTAAATTATGTCCAAAAAGCTGTTTTCTTTGTAATCCATGCATATAAATATCATCATATTCATATCTCCGGTGACATGAAATATAATAATTTCTCTGACTATGTCTTGTCTTCTAGTTTGCTGTAATCTACTTCTCCAATATAGATCAATAATGGATTGGCAGTAATTTAACGATTATCAATCTATATTAAAAGCTAACCCTATTGAAAACAAGCAATAAATGTTTTTATTTATTGATTTCATTATATTTCAGTCTTGCTAAATGATTTACAAAACAATGAGGGGAGTAGAGGTGGAGGAGAACCCCGGCCCAAGAATGCAGAGGGCATGCGGCAGAGAACAAGGGGAGGCGCCGATCAGAAAGAAAAGGCAGAAAATAAAGAAAATGAACCCGCCGACTACACACAAGAACAGCTGCAGCTGGTCAAACGGTAAGTGAACTGCAATGAAAAATAACTGCCCTAACCATGCTTACTGAAGAATCGAAATACGAGCTTTGTTATATACTACGCAAAACAAGTTAAGGGTCATACGATGTCATCATGTAATGTTATTGATGAGGCTGGTTGCATTATGTATAAATAAAATTTTATATTCCGTGTATGGCAGTTTATTCAAAACCATTGCAGAACCTTGATAAAGGCTGCAGATAACCGTGGTGCCAATAGTCATCATGTGGTAGGGTGTTAAAAAATGAACAAATTGAAACATCGAGTGCTTCACAGGAGCGCCACCACTGTGGGTGTGAAAGATGATGTTTCATCATGAACAACATGTGCATGCGTTCTTCGTGGGATTAGTGCTGTGCATGCTTATTTTCCCTATGAAACTTGTAATTGTCGCATTGTTATTGTCACTTGAAATTCAACAATGGCAAGACGTCAACTGAGCATGACAGACAGAGGAAGAGCCCTTGCGTGGCTTCAAGATGGCGAACCTCAACGCAGTGTGGCTCAGAGACTAAATGTGAGTCAGAGTGTCACTGGAAGGTTATGGCACCGGTTTCGTGTCACTGGAAAGCTGACTAATCGACCAAGTTCTGGCAGGCCTCCATCAACAACTCTTAGAGAAGATCGATACCTGACAAATATGGCTCTCCCACAACGCAGAGTGGCTGCCAGACAATTCCGTGACCAACTGAGAACTGCCACAAGTACCCTGGTATCTGATCAGACTGTCAGGAACCGACTGACGAGGAACAATCTTCGGGCAAGGTGACCAGCAGTTCGACCACCGCTCCTTCAGCGACACATGACGGCAAGACATGACTGTTGAGACGGCATGTTCGTTGGCAACGTGCTCAGTGGGCATCAGTTCTTTTCTCCGACGAGTCTAGGTTTACTCTACAGTTCAATGATGGTAGAACTCGTGTGTATCGGCGTCCAGGAGGGAGGTCTGTGACGTTAACGTCAGCCAACGTTTGCCATTTGGAGGCGTGGGTGTCATGGTTTGGGCTGCGTTTTCCTTTCATCAAAGGACACCTCTATGTCATTATTGGTACCCTGACCGGAAATCGCTATCTACGGGAGATTATCAGACCCCTTGTTTTGCAATGCGTCGGATCCATATTCGAAGGTGGCAATGCCCGACCACACCGTGCCCGTGTTGTGACGGACTTCAGCAGATTTAGCCCCTATGGAACATGCTTGGGACGAGTAAGGACGTCGGCTTCGTAACAACCACGCCCCTCCAAACAACCGTGCAGAACTGGCCCAGTATCTCATTGCAGAATGGCAGACAATACCCCAAGCCTTCTTCCAACGACTGGTGAACAGTATGAGACAGTTGTACTGCTTGTCTTACTGCTCGAGGTGGTTACATCCGTTATTAGTCCAATGTTGGCGTTTGAATTTTCACTTCTGACAGTAGGTCACTTTGACCTTATTGATCAGCAATCACTGACATTCCTGCTGTTTTTGCCTCCCGTTATGGTTATCATGAAATGTTGGCTCGAGTTGTTATATGATCGCTACATTTTACTGTTATTTATATTTGTAGTTATGGCCATTAAAAGTTTTGACCCTTAACTTGTTTTGAGTAGTATATATTGGTTATTCTAAGTTTACTTTTTATTTATTGATAAATATGTCACTTGTACCTTATGTTTGAAAGGCATACTTAAGCGAGGATTGTGTGGTTACATGTGTGAACTGTGTCATCTCCTCCCACGGACTGTATATTCTGTGCTCTCGCTAGCATAAACTGATACACCGGCCAGACATGATATTGCTGCAATACTACCAAGATATACAGTATATTTCTGTTTATTACTTGCCCATGGAAAATACTGGAGTGTAATATTTTTACGGCAGTATTACACTAGTGTAATACCGCTAGACGGGTGATGTCATAATGGTTTACAGTTATGAAGTCACAATGATAATACTGCTGTCACAATGGTATTCACCCTTGCTTGACTCAGCTGAGAGTCATCACACTGAGAGTCATCACACTGTAGGCAGTTTCTATCAATAACTTGTGAAAGACTTCGATGTTTGATGAGAGTATTATAATTTACATAGATACTAAACTACAGTAGAACTTCCGTCCAGGGACCACGAAATACCATTCTTATTTAACTTGTGAAAGATCTTGGATTGTCTTAGATTTTACATCTGAATCTACAGCCTGAATTATCTGAAGCTTGGTGTCCAAATCATTAACTTACGCTTAATAAAATGGTATTACATGTTTGTACATGGAAGGCCGTTAGTTGGGCTTTAGTATCCTCTTAATATATATATAATTTTAATGATATTATAAAGGACTGTTGACGGGACTTTTAAATTTGTTCGCGCCGTTTATGTACGCTATATCCGTGTTCTTTGTACCTTGTTTTTGTGTACCTTGTTTTGTATTTTTCGTATGCTCTGCATTGTTAAGATATGCATTCAAGAAATATACCACAGCAGTATGACAGACACGCATTACCGACTTGACACGCATTCTAAGGATCGTGCTCGGTTCGGCCTTCGGTTCTCTCCAGTGGAGAGTGTCCTGCCACCCTGACCAAGTTAGTAACTGGTCATTGGTATCGGTTCTGTGTTCAATGTCGATATGGTTCATATCACTACATCGTATAAGCCTTACCACCCTTTCGGGTTGGGTCGGGTTTGGGTGTACATATGTCCCTTACGTCCTCTTCACTTAAAGGCAAGAGGACGGGGATGGTTTTGAACGCTATAACCAGTCATATGCTATTAACCTGTCTTTTGACGGAATTGGGTACGAACCCCCCACGGGTCACTGTTTGGTATGCCTCTTTTCGAGCTGCATGTCACGTGACCAGGTTAGTGTAATAGTGAGCCAACATATGTTCGGCTACGCTTTTCGCTATTCAGGGGATTTTTGTGCGCTAACAGTTTTTTCCCTCTTCCCGAGACTTCGGTATTTGGGAGTCTGTGTTAATCAGCACTTTGTGGGATGGTGGTCTACACTGACCCTCCTCACGCCGAGAGTGTTTGGTGGGGGTGTTTTATCCTGTTTTTCACTCGTACAATGCATGGCATTTGTACTTGTTCGATTCCCTCAGAAACCTTTTAGCGAGGCTAATAATTTCTCTGGGTTTTATCGAGGTCCCGGCAAGCCCTCTTCCAAACATGGGTGCATTTGAGCATTAGTTTGCAGTATTTATTAGCTCGACTCCTGGGTTATTGGCTTTTAACGCGTTTTTTTACGCTTCCCTACCCTTATACCTCTCGCCATGCTTCTTTGCTTCGGGCTATATTAGAGTTGGGAGTTGTTTTGGCATGTCCCCATACATTCCTTTCCATTGTAATGGTTGGGGGTGGGGTTTTATGTCATAATTGATTTGAACCACTTGACGTATAAGCTTGGGCTCTCTAGTTCCCGCCCTAGCCACGCCCTTGCCTGATTGACATCAGCGGTCAGGTGGCTCGGTAAGTGTGTTTTTTCTATTTCCGTATCGGTTGTAGATTTCACTCCACCACGGGTTTAGTTGTTGCCAGACAGAATGCCACTCCCGTCTCAAATATCTTTAGGAGTCTGTCATATGCTTATATGTACCCCAAGGAGAACTTCTTCTGAAAAAGAATTATACAAACCTGTAGAGGTTATGAATTCTTTGAAGAAAGTCCTCCTTGGGGTATGGCCGGCCGCCTCCCTCATTCTATCTGACACGTTCAGCATGAAAAGTGAGGTACGAGGTAGACGACGAGAGTTACCTGCTCTTGGGTGTAGGGGGTCTGGTGGGGCCCTGTAGGGGTGGTCTCACAAGACAAAACAAACTTTTTGTTTTGTAAATATTTTATTGAAACATATAGTAACAACTGTCGTAGGATTTAAACTGGACATTTTAATGCTTATATGTACCCCAAGGAGGGTTTTCTTCAAAGAATTCATAACCTCTACAGGTTTGTATAAGTTTTGGGAAGATATTTCAAACCACTTGCAACATGAGTACGTATTCTACAGAACTGTAATCCCATTATCAACGTTTGTTGGAGAAATAAATTGGTTCAGCATTTCTGTTTTGACAACCTTTCACCCCATACTATTGAAGAAGTCATGAAATGACTTTGCTGTGTCCAAACAGTTAAAAAATTCAACATACTGCTATGAAATGACAAACATATATGTATGGTTATTTCAGATTTATTTAATCAGTTCCTATTTGAAAACTATACTTTATATGACTGTTCTTTTGATCTAGTGAGGGACATCAGTAAAGAATATTGAACTTGAATAAAACATGTCACAACTTTTGTCACTACCTATGACCTCATTTCAGAAATTTTTATTGCCTCTTATCTGTGTATCCCTGCATAATAACGCATTTCAAAAGACAACCATTTTGAAACTGTTCTTGTCATCATGGTAGAATAGAGACGAACCTGCTGTGTTCTGAAGTTTGACACCTATTATTTATATTTTGGACACCTCGCTCCAAAGTGTTCAGTTCCAAATCATTAAAAAGGACAAAGGGATCAAATTTATAAAAACATTAGAATTGTCTTCTAATCTGTCCATGTTAGAGTTCCTAGTGATGATTTTTCACTACTACAGGATAAAGAAATGCAAAGACTACTACGAGATCCTGGGAGTAAGCAAGGAGGCCACAGAGACAGATCTGAAGAAAGCCTACAGAAAGCTGGCCTTGCAGATGCACCCAGACAAAAACAAGGCCCTGGAGCCACAGAAGCCTTCAAGGGTAAGTGCACAACAGATCCTGTTTGATGGCAGGGTCAGCATGTGTCCCAAATCAGTATTTACAGAAATAATCTTGTCCTAACTCCTTTTCTCAGACTCATATATATTAACGGGCAAGGAATAATGGAATTTACATTATTGAGAGGTCCACAAACAGCCAGTCATGTGAGAAGCTGAGGGCACATCATTCATTTTTGGATCATCAATTAAACGATAACTCTTAAATTCTTTGAATGGCTTCTTCTTCTTGCAGCTATTGGTAATGCATTTAGTGTACTGAATGACCCCTCCAAGAGGAAGAAGTATGATGTGTATGGTCCAGAGACAGACACCTCTCACAGCCACGCACATTCGGACTATACACATGGTGGCTACGAAGGTAAAACTACAGCTTCATCACCTCTGATGTGATGTTTAATAAATGTTGTAATGCAGATGATGTAGAACTGTTTGATGGTTATTAGATGCTATCTCGGGGTGGTGGGGTAGCCTAGTGGTTAAAGCATTGGCTCGTCACGCCGAAGACCCGGGTTCGAATCCCCACATGGGTACAATTTGTGAAGCCCATTTCTGGTGTCCCCCGCCGTGATGTTGCTGGAATATTGCTTAAAGTGGCGTAAAACCAAATTCAGTCAGTCAGTCAGTCAGTCAGTCAGATGCTATCTCATCTGGTGGATTTGTGTAATATTGATATTTTCATGAGTGATATATAGATGGTATATAATGGTATGTAATAAATAGTATTGTGTATTAAAATGCTATGTCATGCCTAAGAAAATCTAGGAAATTACATGGTTCCAATGCACACAAGTTGATAGGAATAGAGTACATGTATTACTTATATTGAGAAATGAAGAGACATTTTCAAACAGCTGATTAGTTCTGTTTAAGTTCAAGCTATGATGTGACAGTGTCCTTGACCTTTCACTTTAAGTGACCTTGAACTTTGATCAATGGCAGTATGTGATATAAACTCCTAAGAGAGATCATATCAGTTTATTGTCACTCAGCTGGGAGAGGGCATTTTATTTGACTGATACAATCTCTTTCCTGGTGTTGACCAAATTAGGCATCATTTTGTTGTCGTATGTAGATTCTGTGAGAAAGCAGTAAGTCCTTCCAGGTTTTCACCATTTGTACACTGGTGGTGGTGACACAGTGTCACCATGGTTTCAGATCCTATACAAATGTCAAAATGTCAGTTCATTGAAACTTTCACTCTTGCAGGGGACATATCGCCTGAGGAGCTCTTCAACATGTTCTTTGGTGGAGGATTTCCTTCAACAGGTATGTTATCTTACAGTTGCATAGTTCTGTCATATTTACAGTTAAGAGCATGGATGGTCTGCATTATGTTGCTATTGATAATCTTGAACACGATGTAAATATTTTCACCTGACTTCACCAAAAAAGTGTAAAAGTAAGTAACTGGGGTATCAGAATTGTGTTTTATTTCTTAAATTAAAAATAGCATTCTTTATTATACTTGTTTGGGTGTGTTGGTTTTTTTGTCCTTGTATACAGAATATACTTATATGATGCTGGCATCAGCAAGTGAAAAAGGGAGCTGAAATTGGAAGTTGATAAATTTGATAGATCTCACACTGTGGATTTCTTGTTTCTGATTTGACCCCTGATGGTCAGTAAGATAAATTCACAGTATGAGATAGGGTTAGTATTCATAAATATACAATATATTGTAAATTGTTCAAATTATACATTCTTTCCCAGGTACCACACACTACCGGCGGAGTCGGCATGCACACCACACACACAACTTCTACACAAGGGACACACAGTCAGAGGTAAGTGAAGGCTAAGGCTGAGCTGTACCTTGTTTCCCGGCCCTTTAGAAAATTGATCAGCCCTTTCAGTAGCTGGGAGCACAAAGGTCACACATCCTCCGTGAATGAGTTAAGTTTTATGCCAAACTCAGCAATATTCCAGCTATGTGGTGGCAGACTGTAAATAATCATGTCTGGGCCAGACAATCCAGTGATCAACAGCATGAGCATCGGTCTACGCAATTTGAATGCAATGGCATGTGTCAACCAAGTCAGCGAGCCTGACCGTCCCATTAGTCACCTCTTACAACAAGCATGGGTTACTGAAGATCAATTCTAACCTGGGTCTTCACAGGTACACACACCTCAGCCCACCAGACTAAGTCTTATGAGCTTGAGTACTGACCTGTGTATCGGATATGTTACGTGTGGGTCAGAAAGTTCTTCCAAACCTGCCATTGCAGCCAAGTTAAAAACAAAATCATTAATTCATAAATTTATTTTATTTGCATATTTTTAAATTTCATTTGCTTGAATCCAGGGAGTTAGATCCTAGAACCATATAATACAACATGTGTCGACTAAGGAAGTTGTAACCATGGTAACTTGTGTTTCAGAGTGGCTACACCCTGTTCCTGCAACTGACACGCCCATCTTGTTGCTCATTTTCCTCTCTATCCTCAGCAGCTTCTTCGTCAGTGACCCTGTGTTCAGCATGCACCGCACAGAGTGAGTTACACCATGTAATTAACCTGGTTATTCCAGATTTGTCTCTTGTCTTTTTGACGTTTTTACCCAATGTTTCAGGTTGATAAGTCTTAAAAAAAAAATAATTTTAAAAAATTTATTATAGGATATTTATATAGCGCACATATCCACGCACTAGTGCATGCTCAAGGCGCTTATTTTTTCCCTCAATCATTGGATGTCAATCTCAACGGCACATCGCATTATTAATCTCAACTCCCTGGGGAGTATACAACTCTTGCAGCCACTAGGCGCACCGAGTTATTGTGGCTTTTTTATGACAAAATTATGACAAAAGAATCCAATTTCAAATATATATTTTGATTTAAATGATATTCTGAGACCAGTGACCTGCAGACTTTGAGGAATAAAATGCTGATTGTGCACAATGAATGTTGGAACAAATTTTTGCCCAGGTGAGGTAGCCTGATGGTTAAAGTGTTTTCTCATCTTGCTGATGTCCCCGGTTCGGTGGGTACAGTGTGTGAAGCCCATTTCTGGAATCCCTTGTGAAATTTCTGGAATATTGATAAAATATCATAAATGAGTAAATTCATACTCATTCATCTGAAAGTTGTAAAAGTTTTCCCATTTAAACAGTCATTTTAGACAATGAACTATTTCAGTGTGAAGAGTGAACCTCATTCTAAATATCTTTCCACCAGTTTTTGGGACTTAACATTTTTAAACCCATAACTGTCAATCGTTGGGTTATTCAAACTTTCTCATGATTCTCTTGTTTGTTTCAGTAAATATTCTGTAGAACGGAAAACATACAATCTAAAAATCCCTTATTATGTAAAAGAGGATTTCCGACCCGAATATAAAGGTGAGATGCGTCGGATAGAGAGAAATGTGGAGGAAGAATACATAGGGCAACTACGAGGGAACTGTTGGAGAGAGCGGAGTTATAGTAAGTTCACACTCACATTGTATTTATCTTTTAAGGCCATCCATATTTTTGTAGGGGTTTCTCCAACCTCACCTACAGTCCCTGGCTGTAAGTATTCAGGATTCTAGTTATGACGTCATAGTTACTGTGGGCAGGGTTTATCTATAAATCGTTTATCTCCATAAATAAAGTAAGTCTTACCTTAATATTTGGTAAGCTGACCCTTCATTCTTAGTATACTGACACACATTGAAAAGACAAAACCCCTTTAAGCAATTTCTAACAGTTTTATGACGCAATTTCATTTGTCACACGAAAATACAGTGATGTGAGGTTGCCGAATAAAACCATATGCACATCTGGGTTCGAACCCTTTTCATGTGTGGGTACAGTTCATGAAAACACAACTCTGGCAGATTGCTTGGACTTGTTGGGGTGCATGATTATCATGACATGAACATGCAAAGCCAGGTTTTGGGCGCATAAAAGGTACTATGGTTCAACTGTTTCACTAGCAGTCACAAAATGCCATGGCTCAGTGAACAGCAGAGGGAACAAGCTGTTGGGATGCTGTTGGTGGGAACATCACAAAGTGAGGTCGCCTGCCACTTCGGACTGAGCTCATCCATCATCCACAGACTCATCGTCATCAGCAAACTGGAAGCGTCCTTGACCATCCCCAAACTACAGTTGTGGCAGCACATCAAGACCATCACATCTGCCGATGAATTCACCAAAGAATGGAAGACAACACGTCTACAGGCGGCAAAATGAACGTCACCATGATGGTTGTGTTCTTGGGTGGAATCGCTTTGGTGTAGGAAGTGTGATGGTTTGGGCTGCAATTAATGCCAGATTTCAGAGTGATCTCATTATGATTAATGGAACACTGACAGCACAGCGTAATGTTGATCAGATTTTAAGACCCGTTCTTCAGCTGCGCCTGAACAACCAGGGAAATGTGCAAGTGCTGTTCACAAGCCAGCATGACAATGCCTGACCACACACGGCACACCTTACCAGAGACTTCTTCCACCAAGCAGGTATCCCTGTGCTTCCCTGGCCAGCTGTCTCGCCATATCTGAACCCAATAGAACACCTGTGGAATCAGCTTGGTCGCCAGATTCATCAACGTCAACGTCAGACAAACAAAGTTGCTGAGTTGACCCTGGCTTTAAACAGGAGTGGCAGAACATCCCTCAAGCATCAGTTCTATTTTAAGAAGAAGCCAAATATTTTTGATCACATTCAAATCTGAAGATTGTGGGGGGCCAAGATGTACCAGTTATGTTGTTTTCCTCCCTGTAGTTCACTACAACAGGAGTCCAGTGGACGGGAGCATTGTCGTTTATAAATGTGTAGTCTTCATTTGGAAAACGGCGCACAATAACTGGTAAAAAATTGTTCTCTAATATTTCTATATACTTGACAGCATTAATATTGCCTTCTACAGTGGTAATAGTGCCAACACCTTGATAAGTAATATACCCCAAGATCATTAAACTGACCTTTCATGCGAGGGGTGGCACACACACTCGAACTTCATCAGAATTTCAATTTTGTCTTTGAGAGTGAAGATAAGAAATCTTTTATATTTTACGTCGAATGGTTAGGGTGAGCAGGAGATGGGGGGAAAAAGAATATGGATGGCCTTACAGTCATGTACTTGTACTCTAGTTGCTCACCAAAGAGTGAAGATCTCTGTATGTGTAAAAGAAATTCATATATATATAATTTTGATGATGTTAACAAATAAGCATCTTTCTTCAATACAAGCAAACCATAGCATTGCACTGAGAGAATTTGTTTATTATATAATTTTTTCTTATCCTGACTCATGATCTTTTGCTTATCTCCCTTTCCTTTTCGAATGGAAGTAGAACACTTGAATCCCTTGGAGTTCCTGAAGCGGACGTAAAAATACACTCACCCACGAGTTACCTCCCTTTTCCCGCGTAAACAGCCATGGATTGGGTGAGGAAGTCATCTCAAGCCACGGCTGATAAAACAGGAGATCAGCCTGCAAACTCATAATACTGGTGCTATGTTCAGTACATTGCAGGGGCAGTCTGCTGGTATGGGGGCCAAGATAAGATCGGCTACAACGCAGTTGTCTCCGACTCAAGCTAAGAAAAAGACGTCGTCTTCTTCTACGTCGCAGAAAAAAGCATCTGTTACCAGATCGGAGGGTAAATCTATGCAACCTAGTAAGTCAACGCATCAGAAATCCTTCAACAAAGGGATATTACCTCTGCATGAAGGAGACGTTTTAGATGATCCTTCACTACTTCTACCCGAAGTGCCTACGAGATCAGCAACTCAATAGACGTCTACAACTACTAGATGGTCTCATGCAACGGTCACAGCAGGCCAGCTGTTTGACGAACTACCACCAACTTCTCAACGGAGTGAAGTCGAGGCACAATTAAGTTGCTCACGCAACTAGGATGACTAGTGAACCTGATGAAGTTGGAGCTAGAATCAAACAAGATCTTCAATTGCTGGGAATAAGAATTATCACAACACAGAATCGAATTGTGGTCTGAGAAGATCATTTGGTCAAGATACAAGCCATGATTCCACAAGCAGTCCACTCTCCGTTAACACTACGAACATGGCAATGTCTACTCGGTCTACTAACCTCGGCGCAGGGCTTGACTCGCACAGGAAGATTACAACTAAGGCCGCTGCAACGGTTCCTGACAAAACATCTGGACAGCGTCGACCCTATCTTGCTGCCAGACAATCTTACCTACTTTGGTGGACCCACAGGTCGAACGTCTGCGGAGGGACCTATTTACAAGAGCCAGCCTTCGACACACATCTCTACGTAGATGCATCGATACAAGGTTGGGGTGCACATCTCAACAATCAAATTGCATCAAGGAAGTGGTCCAAACAGAGCAGCATCTTCACATCAATCTGCTGGAGATAAAAGCTGTGATCAACGCCTTACAACTATGGTCGAGCTCGCTGATCAACAGAATGCTGATGGTCCACATGGACAAATCTACAGTGGCATTCTCCATAAATCGGCAAGGATCTACAAGATCACCAAGATCTACAGCTCACATTCCAGTTGTTTGACATCACAGAGGAGGCAAACATCTCGATAAAGGCGTGTCACATACCCGGAGCCAAGAACGTGCTTGCAGACGCTCTCTCCCGACCACTGCACCCGTCACCTACGGAATGGATACTCCATCCAGAAGCATTTCGGCTCATCGGAAGGGAAATAGGATCCCCATGCATAGACCTGTTTGCCACGAGGTTCAACAAACAACTACAGATGTTTGTCTCACCAGTTCCAGATCCTCAAGCCTGGGCAACAGATGCACTGAACATATCATGGAATGGACTAAACACTTATGCATTTCCACCACTGATATTACTACCGAAAGTACTGTTAAAGATCAAACAGACACAGGCGCTACAACTGACCTTGGTTGCGTCATACTGGCCAGCGAGAGTATGTAGACCTAATAGAAGATCTCGGAAGTCCAACAATCAAGTTACCAGATTGGCCGAACCTACGCATACATCCGCACACCAAGCAAGTCCACAGGAACCCAACACTGTTCCAGCTACACGTGTGGACCGTATCAAAACATGTTTGAAGAAAAAAGGATACTCCGCCAGGGCAGCCAAGGCAGTAATGCTAGCGTTACGCAGATCTACTTGTAACCTCTATGATCACAAGTGGCTGAAGTTTGAGACTTCTGCAAGGCGGAAAGATTTCATTGCGATGAAAGCTACTCATCCTCAAGTGGCGGAATACCTGTGTCATCTTAGACAGACCAGACATCTGATAGGTTCGACATTATCTACATACCTCGCCGCCATCAGTACAGTGATTACCATGAAAACAGGCATCAAGTTGACAAAATTACCAGAATTACTTGCTCTGCTGAGATCTTTTAAACTGGAGGACTAGCAAAAGAAGTTCAGAGCTCCAGCCTGGGATCTGAATGTAATTCTACGTCATCTTACCAGTGATGACTACGAACATCTAGACCAGACTTCACTCGAGTTGCTGACATAGAAGACTCTGTTCCTGTTTGCGCTAGCTACAGCAGCTCGAATATCAGAGATACATGCGCTGGACTTTGGTCGAACCAGATTCGACATGGGGCAACATGCTGCAGTTCATCTAGGACTTAGATGGGACTTCATTGCCAAGAACCAACTACCTGGTCAGCCAGATAGACAGTTCCACGTACCAGCGCTATCTACAATCCTCGGACCAGAGGATATAGAGGACTTATCCTTGTGTCCGGTCAGAGCCCTGAAGATATATCTTCAAAGACTAAGACAAGGAGACGAAAATTCAAGCGCCTGTTCATCCTATTATCCACAGAGACATCAGTAGAAGTCTCAAGAACGATGATATCGTTCTGGATGAGAGCCGTCATATTGAGAGCCTATAAAGCAGCAGGACTAGAACCTCCTAGAGCTTCCAACCGACACACAGTCAGAGCACTGGCGTCAACATTGGCTCTGCATGGAAATTGTTCTATATCAGCAATTATGGAGGGCGTATGTAAAGGACAGCTGATGAATCCAGGAAGTGGCCTGACCCACCACCAATCCGCAGCATTCTATAAGCAAAAGATCATGAGTCAGGATAAGCAAAAATATGTAATTTTTCAAGTAAAATTGAGATTTTTATACTTATCCTGACTCATGACGAGAAGCCCTCCCAACCTCCCCGCTGGAAACACTTCGGATTGCACAGCAGATCAAGTGCTTGGGCAGAAAAATCAGGAGAGAGTGACAAGTAAGGCTGGTCACATGACTGTTTACGCGGGAAAAGGGAGGTTACACGTGGGTGAGTGTATTTTTACGTCCGCTTCGGGAACTGCAAGGGGTTCAAGTGTTCCACTACCAATCGCAAGGGAAAGGGAGATAAGCAAAAGATCATGAGTCAGGATAAGTATAAAATATCAATTTTACTTGAAAAATTACATATTTCCCATGAAGATCCGGGTTAAAATTGGTCGTCAGCAACCCATGCTTGTCGTAAAAGGCAACTAACAGGATCGGATGGTCAGGCTCTCTGACTTGATTGACACATGTCATCATATCCCATTTGCGTAGATCGATGCTCATGGTGTTGATCACTGGATTGTCTGGTCTAGACATGATTATTTACAGACTGCCTCCATACAGCTGGAATATTGCTGAGTGTGGGGTTAAACAACAAACCAACCAACATATTTCCTCCATGTACGGGACTTTATTTTGTTCATTATTAATTTCAGAGGAAAATCTCTTATGGAAAGCACGTAATTACGGAGATGCCAAGTTATATCAGCGTGCCCAGGACTACCAAACCCCATCATGTGATCAGCTTCAGAAGCTGTACTCTTGATCAATAGACAGGATAGGAACCTCCGGCAGTCAACCTGGCAGAGACAGCATTGTACAGGGGACACACAGAGCCCTCACACTGACACACACATACATGTTATGTTGCTCTCAAGTTCAGATAGATACATTGTGATTGTTGACAGTGTCATGCCTGAAGATGCAGCATGATTCTGTATTTCCTCTCTCATGACGATTTTGAGGAAATTGGTCTAATGTCCATTCAAATTTCTAAATTTACAATGTAAATAGATAGATATATATGGACTGTCAGATTGTTAAACATCCAGAGTTGATTGTTTGTGTCGCTCCCATTATGAAGATTATGCCACACCATTTTTCACCCCCTTTTGGATTATCTACAGGACGTTTGATGGGAAGAAAATTAAAACAATTGTTTGTTTCTCTCGGTTTCTCATTAATTAAGGGTTAGCTTGTATGAAAAAATAACCAAATTCAGAATTTGTTTTTCTATTTCACAAAACTTTATCAGTGGATCAATAAGCAAGTGAAAAAAAACAGTGTGGCCTTATCTGGTGACATGTGTTTAGTGCCTTTCACCTGGAGGCACCATCCTGTGTCAGTTGTCTGTGGGTGTTGTGGAACTAGAGGGACGAAAACGTAGGTCAGCATGTGTGACGGAACAGAGATTATCCAGACTTGGTCTGAGGCTGACATTTGTTCCTATGTCTGCAGCTATACTATGTCAGTAAAATACAAATGGGAGTTATTAATGTCCCAATTAGGAGAAGAACCTGCGTTATGAGTATGGTTTTACAACGCTTTTAGCAATATTCCAGCAACATTAAGGCGGGGGTCACCAGAAATGGGCTTCACACATGTGAGGAATCAAACCCTGGCCTTCGTCGTGATGAAGCACTAGGCTACTCCATCGCCCGTTCTGTGTTTTGAAGTTTAAGGTGGTCTCACCATGAATGTTGTACCTCCGATTTTAATTCAGAATGGAGAACTTGCAGGGTAATGGCTTGGTGGAAGGTGATACTGTCTCAGTTATAACAGGACCACAAAACAGGATTTAATGTTTAATTTATCATTATGGCCTTGAATGCAAAATAAGAGTTTGAAAAAGTGTCACTGATGAACAGCATTATCATTTTCCTGAAATTGCCCCAAAAGGTGCTTCATTTGGAGCCCTAGTTAAATCCCAGCTGATGCCGTTGACCCATTTCCTTGCCTACCCGAGATTGTGCAATATCATCAATGTAAGGCTTTGTTTATGCTGGCAAAGACAGAAAACAACTTATAACTGTGTGGCAAGCAGTACCTTGGTATGCTTGAGTATTGAGTATGCACTATGCTCAAGAAAACATGGTTAGAATCAGAAAGATTCATCACCAAGGGCACAAATTATGAACTCCATCCATAGCTTACATCCTTCTTGTCCACAGCTTCTTTTGATAAATATAGCATACAAGATATATAGAAAAAACAGATAGGTCTTGTAGATGTTCTTGAGACAAGTGGCCATGTCCAATCCTGATGTTGCTGGATGGTTTGTCATTATTTTCTGTCATGAAACAGTATGGAAACAGAACGTTAGTGCTGCAAGACGAGACCTAAATGAGACAGTAATGTGTATCTCATTTCCACCTGGCTGTTTTCAATAAATTGGTGTCATTTCATCACTTTCTCCATTAAACCTGCACAGAGGAAGAGTCATAGCTTCATGTTTTAAACTTCTTTTATCACACTATGCATTTAATCTTCCTTTTTTATCCTGGTGAGGAAACGCTCCTAGAACAAGTTTCCTGCTTCAAATACATCTCCCTCCCAACGTGACATTTGAGGTTGTCAACTTATTGTTACATCAAGATTTTCTTTTTTTTGTTATTATATTTTATTTCAATATTCAGTGGTACTTCTATTTAGATGTTGGTTACAAAATTAGAGCGACACTTTTGATGTATTTTCCATTGTTTCCTCATCGCTGTGGGATGTGTGACCCACTGGGGGTGACGGCAGTTGTCATGGTGATACCATTTCCCTCACTCTCCACACTGTCCCTGCCAGGTTGAAGCGCCCTGAACAGGCCAAACCAAGTTAACCAACTGTTAAATAACACTTGGAGCTCCAAAGTGAGATGTTTACACAAGATCATTGTTGCGCCATTGATGTTCTAGGCAGCCATCAGTTGAAATTGTCTGGGGAAGAAGATGTTGGTGTTTTTATCTTGGGTTTTAAAAATGTTCAAATCTGCTGAATACATCTACCAGTTGTTTACACATTCAGCATGGGTCAGCTCAATAGGGATTGCTGTTTCAGCTGATACATATCTAATGTCATGGTTGCAGAATTGTAAAACTTAAAAATAGGATTCATTTTCATCTGATTTTTGAAAAACAGCGCCATTTACAGTGTATGAAATAAGCCAAAAACCTAGCCAGACATCAGGGCTGGTAACTTCAAAATGTTATCAGCCCAAAATGGATTTAACCAGATCAAATATGGTGAATTTACTCAGATGTATGGAACATCTAAAAATTACCAGACCATCGGGCTGGCTAGCTGTAAATTTAGACTGTCTGTCAGAAATCTAGACCGTCTCGGGCGGCCGGATGGGCCTTATTTCATACACTGCCATTTATCGTATTATTAGGGGAGGAGGTCTTGGGACAGTAGCAGTATTCCCCATTGTCACATTTAGTTATTAAGGACAGGTATCTCCTATGACATCTCAACCATTGAGTTGAACACAATTACTTTCCTGAGTTGTAAGCTTGACACGAAATCTTGGCAAATATTTCTTAGCTTGCTTTGGCCTGGTGTTTTTATTTATCTTGATGTATATACAATACATGTTTAATATGTAAATACTATCAAGATTGTACAGGTTAGATTGTATATGTAAATGTTGTGTGACACGACACAATTTTATGACATCAGTTCATTTCAATCAATTTTCTATCAACAGCACAATATGTGTCATTTATTTGTTTACAGTGAGGGTGAAAAAGAATTGACTTATATTCAAGCTTGTATGTGTACTGACTATTTGGATTAGTCATCTGTATATAGACTCATGTTATTTAGAGTGATGAAAACTGTACGTGATCATATGGTGGATCACGATGATCATTACTCTGTCCGTCCTGGATAATCTCCAGGGTATACTTTCCGATAAATCTCCACTAGTACCCTGGATGCATCTACGGCTTGTCCAGAGAAATGTTTTACCTCCCTTTGCTGGCTTTTTATCCAATCAGGTGTCTATGCTTGGAAGTTGAGCGTACCAATCACAAGGCTTCTATCATAACTCACTTCTGCTTCTTTTATCTAACCGATTAAACTTGGCAAGACAATTGTTTCAGAGGTACCCTGAACGAGGTAGGAGTTTATTTTTGTTAAGTTTGCAGACCTGTCAATTTGTCTGTATGACTTTTTCCCTAAATCTGAGTCGCACAGCGAGCAAACATTCGCAGCTGCGGCAGCCATCTTTGTTGACACTGGCAAGTTTGGTTGTAACGGCTTATCTGATTGGCTACTGTGAGAAGGCGGGCCTAGCCGTAGATGCATCCAGAGTACTAGTGGAGATTTATCAGAACGTATTGCCTGGAGATTGTTGAGGATGAACTCTGTCCATTGAATGTTAGTGTGACTGTGTTTTCGTGGGTGGGAGTCCGGCAATAATATTTGTATATGAAGACCAGATGTTGCTTTTTTCATTCTTGTTTATTTATTCAAGCATACAATGTATTTTTCATCAGTAACCAGATATGTTTTCTTATTTCCTAGATCTTAAGGTTGATCTTAGATCTTGATAAATATTGAACAAAAATGACTAAAAAAATCAAATTGTGAATTGTGTCGTCCAAAAATAATATGGAATGTTCACTGAACGGAACTATAAAAACAAGAATTAATCTGATTTGTTGTGTCCATTCTGGTGTTGATGAACAGTGATAATCCAGTGTTTCATTACAATTAGATCTTTCACTGTGATACCTCAATGCATAAAAACTGGATGACCTGTCTCCAGATGGTTTGGAAGGTGAACTTTTTCAGAGCTAATCAGCTTTGAGGCCTCTTGAGTGAGCATTCCCATGAGCAGTAATGTGATCTCTATCTCAACAAAAATGAAAATGAACTTAATCCATCAGCTCTCAATTTAACTCACAGAGAAATGCCATTCTGATATTTTATAAACTCTCAGCAAATTATTTCCTAGCACAGGACGTTTACATCGAAAAGGACCCCATCGCGGGAGGTCAGCTTATGTACGAAACACCATTTTGACACTGATTTTAAGGGTCAAGTTAGGGTGTCTGCTTATCTATGGTAATATACGGTATCATTGACAGAATATTTGTGTTAATTGCAGTTTACTTTTGTTTAAATTGGAATTTCCAGATTGAGGTGGTAAAGATACAAAGCCAAATCATTTTATAAATCTGTTCAGCTCAAGATCACAAGGATACTGAATTAGTTCTTGGTGCAACCTTCTGTGGAGGGATTATCTTATTTACATGCTGTGAGGTATCATAGTGAAGTAAAAGATCTGACTTAAATAAGATTGTGTTGAAAACACAGGATACTACCTGTTTCTCAGTCTGTGATTGTGTGATGTTCACTAATGAATTACATGTACAATGTTCATGTGAATAAGACATCCAGTTTGTCCAAAGCAAATAATAGTTTGTTCAAAAGCCCCATTTCATAAGTATAATGCCAAGTTAGGATCACAGGTGAGAACTGAGTTATTAGAGTTTTTATATCTAAAAGTCTTATCTTTTCATATTTTTTCTAAGGGCTGCAGGACAGCTGGGTAATATGGAGAGAATAAGAGACAAAGTGAGTTAGAATTATAAATTTAACGTCACTTCAGCAATATTTCAGCCCTATTGTGACAAGCTAAGAGACAAAGACATTAGTGGTGTTGTGTAGATTTTTGTTATGAAAGTAGTATAATTCCTGTCTCAACATTAACACACCATAGTGTAAATACAGAGTAAGTCTTATCACGGTCTTACGGCCAATTTGACATAGACACTTGCATCATCAATGTTTCTCAGGTTTGTACATCACCAAGTTAACCTATAAAATAACAATGACATTTATGTCTCAGCTCTCTGGGGAGTATGCAACCCAAGCTGCCTGTGAGATGCTGAAAAGTTAAAATTGTCATCCTACCGGGTACCCTTTCAGGGCATCTGTTAGCAGTTTTATCTCCAATACCTGCAAAGGATTCATCTCGATTCACAGTTAATTTATAAACAGTGTGTACAAACCTGTGTAGTGTTGATGATAACACTGTCGTAGACATCAATTAATCAGCTTCTCTTATGTAGTATTATAGACTTAGCGTGCAGTGTTCATTTTGTTATTTAGACCATTCACAGCGTCCCCAGATGAAAGTGATGGTTGGAGCAGGGCAACTGGAGACTTACACATTTACAACCAGTGTCATTGTGAACTATAGATTGTGATATATAAATCATAATATATGGCTGTATTATTGATAGTAGCTGTCTGAGTGCAAGTCATTAATTTGTTTCCTAACTGTGATCGCCAAGTAAGAGGGCGCCGATAAAGCTAAACTTGATGATTTTATTTTGTCCTGTGTTGTGTGAATGAAATAATGTGTATCTGTACATGAACCAAC